GTGGAGGGCGTCTCGAGCAGTAGCCCCGGTTTGAAAAGGAGCAGCCCTCTGCCCGTGCAGCCGTGACATCTGTTCGCACCCCTGGTTTCTCGGACGAGCGGACGTGACCAGCGAGAGCTCCGCTTTGAGAAGGAGCCGTCCTCCATCCCCGTCATTGCTGTGGGTTTGAGACTACAGCGCGCGGCGCTCAGGACATAGTTTTTTTGAGCAGAACTCGGCAGCTGTCCGCGCGATTGTTGCAGGCTGTTCAGACGAGTGTGCGCGGCGCTGCGGCGAGAGCCACATTAAGAAACGATCCTCTCTCCCTTTCTCCCTCTCCCCAGGGCGGGCACCATTCATCCATCCATCTCTTCCGTCATCTCCTCCTCCTCCTCCTCCTCCTACTCCACCTCATCCTCCACCTTCTCCTCCTACTCCTCCTCCACCTCCTCTTCCTCCTCCCTTTGGGCCACGATCCGTGTCAGGGGTCTCCAGCTATGGGTGGCGCGGATGCGAACCTTGTCTCTGGGGTTGCCGGTTGAGCTCCCTGTGGGACACGATCCGTTTGAGGTGTGAGTCGACAGGTGCAGGGGGGACGCTGTGCGAAACTTCCCAGAGGTGTCGCACGTGGAACTCTCAGCGGGGCACGTTCCGCGTGAAGGGTGTGGCGCAATGGGCGGAGGGGCGCCATACGAATCTTGACTCTGGCTCTGTAAGTGGAGCTCCCAGAGGGGAGCGATCCGTGTGAGGAGCGTGCAGCAATTGGCCGGATGACGCTAAGTATGCGAGCCCTGCGCTTGTCTGGGGCCGTACATGGCGCCCCTTGGGGGACACGATCCGCGTGAAGAGTGTGACGAAATGGGCTGGGACGTTCTGCGGTCCCGCCTGCCTCCTTTGCCTTCTTCTCCGTTCATCCTGCCTCCAGCCGCCACTGCCCGAGTCTTTTTCTCATACTTTCTTCCGCCTGTGTCCTCGTTTCTCCCTCCTCCTCCTCCTCCTCCTCCTCCTTCCCACCCGTTCCTCTGTTCTCCCTGCCTTTGTTTGCGAAAGAGTGCCGATGGCACTTGCGACCCTTAACCTGGATTCCCTGGGATCTTTCTTTGGGATCCCCGTCCCTGGGATCTCTGAGTTCCCAGGTGTCCTGGGGTTCGATATGCTCTTCGCAGTGCATTGCGCTGCATTGTATTGCACTGCGTTAATTTTCGTCGAACGTGAATGCGTGTTGCTCCGTGCTTCAAATTACCTTTATTCACATTGCTCTGCTTTGCCTTGAACTGTAATTACTTCATCGCAGTGCCTTGCACTTGCTTCGTTTACTTCTGCTTGCAATGCCATTGTCCTCGCATCCAGTTTCCATGGCAATGTGCTACAGTGCATTGCCATTGCGCCGAACCCGGGGTTCTTCCCCAGAAGGCCCAGCAACTCCACGCGCCGAAGGCGTTTCTTGCCTGGGATAATCTCCCTGGGTGTCTAGGGTTTCGTGGATTAGTACAAGGTCTACTGACAACGACTGTGAAGTCGGCCAGACAGTTGCCAAAGGCGTCAGACGGTCCAAGAGCGCTTTCAGCCAGCTCGGAAACACCCTCAGGGCCCCAAGATGGCCCAACGAGACCACCAAGAGGCCCCCACCACGCCCTCAAGAGACCCCCAGGAGGCTTCCAAGAGGTCCCGTTCCGATACCTCCAAATGGCTGTGGAGTATTGTCGCCGATTTGTTCCCGGAAACCACTCTGGGAACATCCGGGCGGAGGAGGAGGAGGAGGAGGAGGAAGAAGAGGAAGGAAGAGGAGTAGTTGCAAAGGAAAAAAGGAGGAGGAGGAGGAGGAGGAGGAGGAGGAGGAGGAGGAGGAGCAGGGCATGGGACAGAAGGGAACAGGGGGAGAAGGAGGAGGAAAACAGGAGGACGAAGAGGAGTGGAAATGTAACAATGAAATAACGAGGAGGAGGAGGCCGTGCGGAGGGTGAACAGGAGCAGGAGCAGGAGCGCGGGGAGGAGGAGGAGGAGTACGAGGAGGAGGACGAGGAGGAGGAGGAGGAAGGGGAGGAGGAGGAGGAGGAGGAGGAGAAGGAGGAGGAGGAGGAGGAGGAGGAGGAGGAGGAACATGACGATGATGAGGGAGGGGGAGGGGGAGGGGACGAGGCGGATGGAGGCTCTGCAACGCCCACATGCAGCGGACTACGCAATATCGCCGATCAGACGAGCGAGAGCGAGAGCCGTAAAACGTGGCGCAGCTGTGACTATAATCTAAGCGCACGCAAAGTGCGCGCGTGGTTCTCGTGTGCATATCTATGTCTATATCTATATATATACACCTGTACGACCACCCTTCGGGTGATAAGGAGGTTGCGGGGGGAGGGAGAGGGGGGGAACCAACATCTGACTCAATCGATCTCACTATCGATCTCGCTCAACGGGGCACCACGGGACACCACGGGACACTTGTCGATATCAATATCGATCTCACTATCGATCTCACTCAACGGGACACCACGGGACACCACGGGACACCACGGGTTATCGCAGGACACCTCTCGATCTCATTATCGATCTCACTAGCGATCTCACTCAACGGGACACTATAGGACACCACAGGACACCTCGGGACACCACATCGATCTCACTATCGATCTCACTTTTTGGGACACCACGGGACACCTGTCGATCTCACTATCGATCTCACTATCGATCTCACTTTTTGGGACACCACGGGACACCGCGGGACACCTCTGGGCACCACATCGATCTCACTATCGATCTCACTATCGATCTCACTTTTTGGGACACCACGGGAGACCACGGGACACCTGTCGATCTCACTATCGATCTCACTTTTGGGGACACCACGGGACACCTCGGGGCACCACATCGACCTCAGTATCGATCTCACGATCGATCTCACTATCGATCTCAGTCAACGGGACACCACGGGGCACCACGGGACACCGCGGGACACCGCGAGCCACCGCCGGACGGTCGTACGGACTGGCGGGCGGGAGAGAATCATTTGTTCTGACTTCGCCCTAGCAACGGCGGACACCACGGGACACAGCGGGACACCGCGAGCCACCGCCGGACGGGCGGGAGGGGGAGAATCCACGGGACACCACGGGGCACCGCGGGGCCACTGCTGGACGGGCGAGAGGGGGAGAATCATTTGTCTTGACTTCGCCCTAGCATCGGCGGACACCACGGGACACCACGGGACACCGCGGGGCCACCGCCGGACGGGCGGGAGGGGGAGAATCATTTGTCTTGACTTCGCCCTAGCAGCGGCGGGTTCATTCCTCTCGCGCGCCCACGCAGCTTCGCCTCGCCCGCACGCACCACTCGAACGAAACGAAACGATTTCCCAGTTGGAGGTCTCCATTCCACTGCGATCTGACCCCCCAAGCTCCGATATGTGTGCATATGCTCGACTGCCCCTCACAGAAGAAGTGTGTGTATATACCTTTACGACCACCCTTCGGGTGATAAGGAGGTTGTGGGGGGAGGGGCGAGAGGGGGGGAACCAACGTCTGACTCAATTGATCTCACTATCGATCTCACTCAACGGGACACCACGGGACACTTGTCGATCTCACTATCGATCTCACTCAACGGGACACCGCGGGACACCTCTCGATCCCAGTATCGATTTCACTATCGATCTCACTCAACGGGACACCACGGGACACCCCGGGACACCTCTCGATCTCACTATCGATCTCACTATCGATCTCACTCAACGGGACACCACGGGACAGCACGGGACACATGTCGATCTCACTATCGATCTCATTAGCGATCTCACTCAACGGGGCACTACGGGACACCTCGGGGCACCACATCGATCCCAGTATCGATCTCATTATTGACCTCATTATCGATCTCACCCAACGGGACACCATAGGACACCACGGGACACCTGTCGATCTCACGATTGATCTCATTATCGATTTCTTTTTTTGGGGACACCACGGGACACCTCGGGGCACCACATCGATCTCAGTATCGATCTCACTATCGATCTCACTATCGATCTCACTCAACGGGACACCACTGGACACCACGGGACACCACGGGACACCACGGGACACCGCGGGACACCGCGAGCCACCGCCGGACGGGCGGGCGGGAGAGAGTCATTTGTCTTGACTTCGCCCTAGCATCGGCGGACACCACGGGACACCACGGGACACCACGGGACACCGCGGGCCACCGCCGGACGGGCGGGAGGGGGATAATCATTTGTCTTGACTTCGCCCTAGCAACGGCGGGTTCATTCCTCTCGCGCGCCCACGCAGCTTCGCCTCGCCCGCACGCACGACACGAACGAAACGAAACGATTTCCCGGTTGGGGGTCTCCGTTCCATTGCGATGTGACCCCCCAACCTCCGATATAACGTTCACAAAGAAACATCCAGCGGTGCCTGCACAGACAGACAGACAGAGGCCCGGTCAAACCACATGGGTTGGCCCGTAGACGGGCGAGGCTCCAGCACAGTGGCCTGAGCGCACACGTGCGTAAACGGAGAGCAAACGTTGTGCCTCCGAGGGGGAGGGGGGAGGGGGGGGGGAGGGGGAGGGCGGTGCCTGCACAGAAGGAACAATTGTGCTAATTCTTTGTCTGTGAAGCCCACGGACTTTGTGAAAATGTTCCCGACTGGCGAAACTTACGCGTACTTCCTTTCCCACAGACCGGACCGAATGTGCAATGCGTACACGAAAGGATTCAATGTGAAGAAATTCTTTCACAGAAAAGCCGATTTGAAACCATCTCTCGTAATGTTGATCCGTTTGCCAAGGTCACATTCCAAGATTGTGTTTGAGCATCCTCCCTCACAGAAGGAATCGGTTTGCACACTTCCCTTCGCACAGAGGATTTCTCCGTAAAGCTCACACGGATTCTTATTGCTCTCGGGAGAAGGGATCGGTCGAGGTGGGCATCTTCTTTCGCAGCAGGATGGCATATGCAAATCCGACACACGATGAGTGTTTGTGTATATCTCATACGGAAAGACTTGTAGTCGGCGCGCAGAGTGCACGTATTGTGTTCCATTTGTTTGGCGAGCTCTGCGGTGAAACATGCACATTCTGTCGTTTGTCTTGTCCTGCCTTCCTCCCCTTTCCATCTTTCCATCGCGTCTTGCAGCATCACAGTGCAGTCTAATACGTCGCCGCGTGATTGCAAAGACTCGCACGTGCTCCCAGCGCTTTGTCGGGCTGGCCAGCGCACGCAAACCGAGGCCTCCCAAGCGAGGTCCGAGCAGGTGGGGTCGGAGCATGATCTTCCGAGGATCGCGTCGATGCATCGGCGATGTGGTTCGATGCGGAGCTCGATTTCTCTATACGCCGACGGCGCCAGTGCACCGCCGACGTCGCCGACGCATCGCCGATGCATCGCCGATGCAGTGGCGATGCGGCGCGACCCTCCGACCCCCCCTGCTCGGACTCCATTTGGGAGGCCTCCACGCAGAGGGATGCCGGCCGCGGGGGCCCGCGGTGCTCTGCTCGCCGTGGCCTCGGGGCTCGCCGCTGCGGACTCGCCAGGCGCCGCCAGCGCGCCGAGGTCCGAGGCGGAGGTGGATCAGCCGCGCGCAGAGGGGGGGTTGGGGAGAGGAGGCGGAGGGAGGGCTTCTGACAGGCACCCCTGCTTCTTAGAAGGCGCGGGCCTTGTCCATAGATGGAAGGCTGGCGCCTCCTAAGAAGCAGCCTCCTTCTAAGCAGCCCTCCCCCCTCCCTACACCCCCCTGTGCGCGCCGCCAAAAGTGGACACCTGGCAGGAGCAGATCGTGCCCGGGATCGGGATAGACCGCGGGCGTCGCGGTTGGCGTCTGGGGAGGTAGGTGGGTTCAAGCAGTAGTAGCAGTCCGCAGCCGTAATGGCTTAGCAGGCACAGCGCTCACAGGCCCCAAGGCTCCTCGTCTGGCCACCAGAGGAGGCGCGCCAGTGGTTCTGGCGCGGTGCCAAAGGTAAAAAGGTCGTCGGTCGAGGTCGAATTTCACGCTGCAGTGAACTTGGGAGGGGGGTGCAAGGTGCCCCTTTTGTGCCTTAAAGGGTCCCCAGAGGCCAAATATTGCTACGTTTCTGCCCCCCCCAATGTCTCGCCCCCCCCCCATTGAGCAACGCCCGATGACCAGATCTAGGCTTCCCAGATGGGGTACGAGCAGATGGGGTCGGGGGATCGCGCCGCAGCGACGATGCATCGGCGATGCGGCTGGAGGTGGGGCTCGATTCTCCCCACGCGGATGGCGCCTACGCATCGCCGATGCAGCGGCGCCGATGCATCGGCGATGCCCATCTGCTCCAACCCCCTCCGGAAGGCCTCTATCCCCAGATGCTTCGCGTCGTGGAAAAAGAACACGGGGGGGGTGACGGTTTTCAGCTTCGTGGGGACCCCAGGACCGTCGAGAAGCGACTCGGAACGAACAGCCGGCCCCTGGAAGGGGAACCAGTCACGACGGTGGGGGTCTGTGTCAAGAGCGTTCCAGAACGCTCTCAGAGCGTTCCAGAACGCTCCCGATACACCCCTTAGTCAGGAGGGGAAAAAACACACTGACACAATTGATCGTCGACCCCCCAGGAAAATATGGTAGACTATGGGAAGTGTGGGGGAAGACGAGAATCCAAACAACAAAAATAGGAAACATGGGGAATCCTGGGATTTGCGTGTGTGTATTTATTTGTGTGTCCCAGGCCCCCCTTATTCAGAACCGCAAGATCTCAGAGATTCGCGACTTGTCTCGGGCGGACGGCAGCGGGGGGGCACCACATAAGTGGGCGGCTCGAGGACTGCGGGAGAGCGGCGCTGCCGCCGCGGGCCCACGAGGTGCACGAAATGCGCACGCTTCTTCACCCTGCGTTTAAGTCGGGCCTGTCCCTCTACAGGGGGGAAGCTAAAAAATAGTCAAAAAATGGTTCGGGGACGATTTGTTTGAATTATTCCCAACCCTCCTGCGTTGTGTTCTCGTTTTGAATAGAGCACTGCTCGCGCGAACCTTCCCGCCCCCTCCCGTCCCTCTCTTCCCCCCTGCTTGTGACCTCGCCATCCCTGGGGGGCTGCGATCTGCGAAACTGTCGCCACTTTCGAGGGCTGCTGGGGGCCCAGCACAGTGGGTACACACGGCGGATTCAAATTAGACCTCGCCATCCCTGGGGGGCTGCGATCTGTGAAACCGTCGCCACTTTCGAGGCCAGATGGGGGGCCCAGCACAGTGGGCACCCACGGCGGACTCAAATGGGACCTCGCCATCCCTGGGGGGCTGCGATCTGCGAAACTGTCGCCACTTTCGAGGCCTGCTGGGGGGCCCAGCACAGTGGGTACACACGGCGGACTTAAATTGGACCTCGCCATCCCTGGGTGGCTGCGATCTGTGAAACTGACGCCACTTTCGAGGCCTGCTGGGGGGCCCAGCACAGAGGGTACCCACGGCGGATTCAAATTAGACCTCGCCATCCCTGGGGGGCTGCGATCTGTGAAACTGTCGCCACTTTCGAGGCCTGCTGGGGGGCCCAGCACAGTGGGTACACACGGCGGACTCAAATGGGACCTCGCCATCCCTGGGGGCTGCGATCTGTGAAACTGTCGCCACTTTCGAGGCCTGCTGGGGGGCCCAGCACAGAGGGTACACACGGCGGATTCAAATTGGACCTCGCCATCCCTGGGGGGCTGCGATCTGTGAACTGTCGCCACTTTCGAGGCCTGCTGGGGGGCCCAGCACAGTGGGTACCCACGGCGGACTCAAATGGACCTCGCCATCCCTGGGGGGCTGCGATCTGTGAAACTGTCGCCACTTTCGAGGGCTGCTGGGGGGCCCAGCACAGAGGGTACCCACGGCGGATTCAAATGGGACCTCGCCATCCTTGGGGGGCTGCGATCTGTGAAACTGTCGCCACTGTCGAGGCCTGCTGGGGGGCCCAGCACAGTGGGTACCCACGGCGGATTCAAATTGGATCTCGCCATCCCTGGGGGGCTGCGATCTGTGAAACTGTCGCCACTTTCGAGGCCTGCTGGGTGGCCCAGCACAGTGACGCCTCCCAAGTAGCTTAGACATCAAGTTGATTGTCCATACAAGTTTCGGCCAACTCCTCGTCTCCATTGATACAAATGGGTTGGTTACGTCACAGGGTAATTTTTGAGCAGTTTGTGGGCACTTGTTGACTATCTTTTATTTGTTATCTAAAATCCCCCTGTAGGGGTACAGGCCCGACCTAACCCTACGTTTATAGCCCTCCCCCTCGACGAACACGCGATTATCCCGGTTCGACTGTGTCCCGATCCGGCCCTTCTTTCTGAGGAGTGCGAGCACGCGGCCGCGCGCGTCGAGGCCCTTCGGAGGCGCTCGGTGCTGTCCGGCCCTCGGGCCCCCACGGAGGAGGAGGTCCAGACTTCAGCTGTTGCGGGGGACGACCCCTTTACATGCAAGGAAACAAGGGGGGATCGACCCCAACTCCTTGAAATCATGCCAGAGAGCTAGCCACCGCTGCTGTCGCCTTTGCGTCTCGCGCGGCCTGACCCAGCGATGCCGCCTCCTCCCACGAGAGCCCGAAAAACTTCAGCCCTCGCTCAGCGTCCAGGCTCCTGGATCCCTCGGCGTCCCGAGGAACCTGGACTAAGGGCGGGGTAGGGACGTCCGCGGGGGAGGCCAGGGCCCTGGACCACTCCTGACGGACGCTGAGCGAGCGGGGGGGCCGCGTTACGAATGTCTCGGCTGTCCCCGTATCTCGGAAGCTTACCCTGCCGCTGCTGGGCCTGCCGTCGCAAGGGGCGTGGATGCCCCCTCCCCTGGGTGGCTTCCTGTGCGCGCCCCTGGCGTAGGCTCCGCACGTCGAGCAAATCGAGAGAGCGTCGGCGAGCTTGTTCTCCCGACCGTCTCGAATTTCCGCCCACCACAGCGTGCGTCCCCTGAAGGCCCAAGCCTCCAATGGCTCCCCACAAGAGTCCCCAGGAGCGAGAGGTGTGGGGGGCGGGGGAGGAGGACCCCCCCCTGCACGGGACTCGGGATGGGGAGCCTTGGGATGGCCTCGAGGGGCACTGTGGTGAGCCACTCTAGACCGTCATGGTCGGCCGCTTGGCCAGTGCTTATCATCACCTGCTGGGAGGACGCAAACCGAGCAGCCTCGCGGGCGAGAGAGGCACATCCTTCGATCACCAACAGCTGGGCTTGCGGGGCTCTTGAAGGCTCAGCACCTAATTTAGCTGGTCGATCAGCATGCGCATCACCTTGTCGTTGCTGGTGGGAGATGAGGCCCTCCTGGACCGCCTTCTGGGACAGGTTGGCATCGACATTGACGAAGCGAACTTCTTCTAGGGCCTCTGAAACCTCCATCCACCAATGGCATCTCATCTGGTTCTCGTTAGGTGAGTCGGGGAGCTTGTTTCCAACCGAGACGGTAGCTTTGCAGTCCACATCCACTTCGACTCCAGGCTCCAGCAACGCGTGCAGTCCCAGCTGCCTGATAGCGAAATCCTCGCCGTCCCTGGAGCTCTGGTCTGGGGCCTCGGCCAGTGGGGCGGCCCCAGCAATGGCGTGGAGCAGGTCTCCGCTCTCATTGACTGCGCAGGCTGGCCAGCCTGCCACTCGGAGCTCTGGGCAGCTCATCTTGTAGCATGACCCGTCCGTGAAGACCGCCCAGCAGCTCTCGACTACCGAGATCCCGTCGCTGGGCCAGTTGATCGACTGTAGGTCGGCCCCTTTGGGGTCCCGAGGAGGCCGCCCGAACCAAGCACTCGGATGTGGGAAGATGCTGCGCGCGAAGAGCTCGCCCGCCTCCGACATTCCTCTCATGTTCTGGGCAGCCTGGCGTAGATGGCGTTCCAGATGATCGCGCCTCCACGCGCCAGAACCTGGGCAGCAACATCTCCTATAGCCTATGGCACAGCGCCCCTCGAGCTCCATAGCACAAGCGGCATGTCGTGACAATGTCTCTCGCGCGCAGTGCCACCCTGGCCTGTGTCAAGTAGATGTTAGAGACCACTCCTTTCAACGTCTGCTTGTGGTCTCTATGCCAAGCATCTGATGTGGTCTGGTTCAGCAGCTTTTTGATCGGCCGCCAGAAAATGCATGTTTGTCCACGCTTGAAAGTCGCTCTGCCTGTTCTGCTCGTCTCTGTTCGTGAACCTCCTGCCTCCCTCGCGGATCTGCCCGGCAACGAATTGCGGCGAGAACCTCGGGATATACCATGAGCGACCCAGATCGTCCACCAGCGCCTTGTCATGGAAATCGAAGCTCCAACCTATCCTGTCGAGGCTGGCCATCAATGCTGCGACGGGGTGTTTCACCTTGACTCAGCGATTGCGAGGGCGGAGCACCTCGAGGCCGTCCTGGTAGCCCACCTGGATCACATCCCAAAACACCTGGCGGTTCCAAATCACACTCACGAAGCCCTTGGCCACTTGGGCCGCGGCGACCTCGAGGGGGCCCTTCCCGGTCAAGAGGGGGCCGAGCAGGACGCGAAAACCAAAAGCACATCCTGGATGAAGGAGCCCAGCTGCTGTGGCCGCCTGAACCCGAAGCTCCCTGATGGTCGCGTCCGCGAGGCCGTTGATTGACGATCCCCAGATGGCCTTTGCCAGCGGCCCCGCTCTGAACACCCTTGAAACCGCCGGCCCCGTGCCAAGGCGAGATAACTTGCTGGTCATCTTCTTGGCCTCGGAAGTCCTCTGGAGCACTGTGGGGAGCCTGCGCTGTTTCCCGCTGCTGGATTCCCGGTCCCTGCGAGCATCCAGCACGTGCCCTGCTAAAGTCCCAGTTGGGGTCCTCCAGGAGCGCCTGCATGGCCTCTGGGTTGGAGGTCATGAACCTGGTCTTGCCCCAGTCGATGGGGAGGTGAACCTGCGCCACGTACTGGGCAACCTACTTGCGAGCCTGGACGGAGTGCCTGACCGAGGTGGAGGGCCCGCCTACCGCGCGCGAGATGAGGTCATCTATGAGGTTGATGCTGCGGCAAGGAGGATGGAGGTGGCGATGTCCCTGAGCAGCGCCAGCATCATCAGCTTGGAAATCCCCGTCGCACAGCTGCATCCTGCCACGATGGCGCCGTTGGCCTCCGTGGTGCCGCTGAGCGAGGCCCCCCACCGCGCGCGCCTGGGGCACCTGTAGAGCGCGCATAACGCACGAAGAAGGCCAATGTCGAACGAGACGTGTGTGGCAGCTATTCGTAGTTGTTCGCGTGTAGTGTTCTCGTAGAACTTAGCGTTGTCATAAAGAGTAAGTATCGAAGTTTGATCTTTCGCCCTGGCATAGCACATAAGTAGGTTGTGTGTGTAGCTGGCTCGGTGTGCTGCTGTCGCTGTGTCCTCCCCCCAGAACAATGAAGCATCTACACCATTTTCCCATAATCGGACCGCGCGCTGGCAGATCCTGCTCCAAATGCGCGCCGGCTCGCACATCGGGCCGATCGGGCGCGTGCCACCCGCCGGTTTCGGCAAGAAAACATTGACCATCGTCAGCATAGGCGACGCCGCTCGCCGTTGCTCCCAGCTGTTGAGGATATCGACTGCTCTCTGGACGATATCCCTGGGCATCCTCTCGAAGCGCCGAGGGCGCAGGGAGTCCCAGCCCAGCGCCGTCCTGTCCGGGGAGGACGGCAGCACTCCCAGGAAGTCCTCCGCGGGCCGTTCTGCCTGGGCCCTGCCGCCCACAGCAGGTTCGAATCGTCCAGGATCTGCTCCGCTGCTTCACTGCCTGCCACAGGTAACTCGCCGCGAAGTGCTGGCGTGTCTCCCCATGGCCGAGGCTCGATGACCGCGCAGGCGATCTTGCAGTTGCCGTCGAGCGCCTTCGTGCAGAAGGCCTTCCAGTCCTGGTACTTAGCCGCCGCATCCTTGCTCAATCTTGCCGCTATCTCGCCCTCGATCAGCTCGAACAGCTGGTGGCAGTGCGCGCGGTTGCCTCTGCCCATCTCCAGCCGATTGGTTACGTTCTTGGTCTCCGGCACCCCCGTGGACGTGATGGGGTCGGGTAGCTCAAGCGCCTGTTGCTTAGCTTCAAGCCATCGGCGATGCTGCTCACTGCATTGGTTCTTGGGCCGCCAAGCCACCGCCGCCAGGCCTGTGGGATCAGCTGTCTGCTGGCCATGCACCCAGCCACAGAGCCCCCTCCACATCCCGGCAAACGATCTCCAGGCCATCGTGTCAGACGTGTCAGTGTACGTCTTGAGCTTCTGAACCTTGTCGGGCAAGGCCGCTTTGCGCCGCTTGAGACCCTTCGCCCTGCCACAGAAGCCCCCTTGCCTGTCGCTCGGGATGTCGAAGATCTTGCTGGCCTGCCTCTCCACCACCTGGTGCCACTGCTTGATCTTGTCGTGGAATCTGGCCTCCTCGTTCCCCTCCTCGGTCTCCCGGGGACAGTGCGCCGCCGAGATGTCGCGAGGGGGTGCGGCCTCATCTGCCCTGGGAATTTGTTCGGGGAAAGCCTTCGGCTCCGCGCGCAAGGCCTGTGCCATGGGCCTTCGAGCTCCACGGTCACGGGCGTGTGCGGGTCGAGCGGGGCATCGTTCAGGGCCTTCACCTCGTGCTTGAAGGTAGCGAGCACCTGGGGGCACACGAAGAAGCCGCACTCGCTGTCTTGACATGTCGGGGCCCCCGTCGCGATGGCCACCGCCTCCGTGTCCTCCAAGAAGCTGCTCTCCAACAGCTCTCCAGGTGAGACGTTCCAGTCGCCCCCAGGATGAACGGGCAGGGTAGCGCCTGCAACGTGGTGACCATGTATCTGAGGAGCGCCTCGCTGTCGTCCACGATGCCGATGCTGCGCGCCAGGTAGACCGAGCCTATTGCCACCGCCGAGCCTGGGCCTAGATTCAGCAGCCTGAGGATGAGTCGATGCTGCCACTGGGCTGGGGTGCCCACCGCCTGTTTAGCTCCGATCGCCTGGGGGGTCATGATCGCCTCCCGCCGCACCCTCTTCGAGGCCCTTGGCCGAGGGGGGGGCCGTCCTCGGGCTCCAGGGGGCTCGCCAGAGACACATCCTCCATCCAGGTCGCCCCGGGCTTGATCATCGACGTCTGGGTCTGGGGAACTCTTGTCAGGGGGGGGGGGCGGCTGCCAAGAAGCCTCCTGCGCCTGCGCCGACGGGCTCGCGGCTCTCCCCAGTGGAAGTCGACGAGGTGGCGATGCGCACTCTGCGTTCGAGCGTTCCTGACCAGGTTAAAGAAGCGGGCCCGATGCGGCTGTCCTCGATCCCACGACTGCGAGCGCCGAAGTTCCGCAATCGGGCGCAGAGTGCACCCTGGGTGGCGGCGTGAGATGCGTCGCCAAAACTGCTCCACCTGCGGCCTGTTGAGCGCCGCCTCGAAGTCGGGCACGCACCACTCGCACCAGTGCTCATTATTGGTGTAGCCTTCGCCCCTGACGTCGTGGATCCACCTCGTCGCCGCTGAGGCCATCTCCTCCATCAGGTCCTGCCTCGTGCCTCTGCAGTCGGGCAAAACTCCTGGCGGGGGCCATCTTCCTTCCCATCAGCGTAGACCCATCGACCCAGCATCGCCCGTCCGTCCAGGTGGTGTATTCCAGAGCGTTCTCATCGATCACCTTGGCGTAGTTGCCGATGATATAGTCAACGTCATAGCCCCAGACGAATACCCCGTCGCTGCAGTCATCTCCTCCGTCACGGTCTGCTGGGATTGGTTGAGAGCCCCTAAAGATGTCTGCCTCATGGGCCCCATGGTCTCACTCAACGGAGTAGCTCTCAACAAGTGGCGAGGTCCCTGGCCTCGAGCTGCTGGGCTACAGGCCTGGCGCGCCTGCGCCGAGCCCCTTGCCTGCCCCTTTGACTGCAGCCTCAAGGCAGGCACGGGCTGCCGCCAAGACGCCGCCGTCGGCTGCTGCTTCCTCATCTTCGGTGAGGTCCTCCACCTTGCTCTCGCCGCCTGCTGCTGGGGCTGCTGCTGGTGGCTGTGGTGCCGCTGGCGCTGCCGCCTGCGAGCCAGTTGCCGCTGCTGCCTGGCTTCCTCCTTCTGCAGGGAGAGCTCCGCCTTTCGACGTCTTCCGCTTCTTGCCGAGGCGCTCCTTCTGGTGCTCCCTCTCCAGCGCCTTGGCCTCGTTGGCGAACTGTCCGAAGGCTTCTTGGGCGAGTGCCTTGGACTTCTCCTGGAGGAGCTGCTTCCGCTTGTGGGCCTCCTCTCGGACGTTCGCCTGGATCTCGCAGTCGTCGTTCGCCCCCAGCGCCTCCAGGCCGAACGGGCCTCCGTCGTCCAGCTCGAGCTCCTTGCCCCCGAGGAGGGAGGCGATGGAGATGCGCGCGGCGTTGGCCAGCTGGGCCCCCTGCGCTGCCTGCCCCACAGGCGCCTCCACCTGCATGGCCAAGGTCTGGACCGCCTTGGTGTGCGCCGCCCTGGCCTGGTCGTAGCGCTGCGTGCACTCGGTGACTTTCTCCCTGGCTGTGTCCAGCTGCCCCTCAAGTTCTTCCGCCAGGCAGACTGCTTGCTCGGGGGCTCCTGCCGCTGCATCTCCTGCCTGCATGGCCGCATCCACGGAGGGGGGCACTGCTGCACGTCTGGCTCTTGCTGCTGATACTTCTGAGCACATCCATCATCCTTGGACAGCTTGAGCAGCCCGATGAGCTGGAACAACTTCTCCTCCTCGGGGTCGCTGGAGCGCCTGCATCACCCTGCTCGGGTTCAGCTTGAAGCGCGAAGCGAACCCGCGATCCTGCTCGGGGAGGGCGGTCACGCCAAGGATCACTCCAGCTAGCATCACGACGCTGATCAGGCCGCTTGCGAGAAGGCGGACGCTGCGTGGCCATGACTTCCTTCTTGCAATGCTTGCACCAGCTCCACCAGGTCCTCGTTCCGCTTGCAGCCGCAAAGCGGGCAGGGGCCCGTTAGCGGCTCCGGGGCGAGGCCCCTGCGGCGGCTGGCTGCCGTGATGCCTCAGGGGCAGCTGGCAGTCGCGGGCCAGCCGCAGGCGCTCCCGCGCTTTCGCTCGCCGCCTGCGCTGGCGGCGATGCCGGGGCGGCGAGGGGGGCCTGGGGCCGCCCGTCGCCGCTGCGCGCCTGCCCCAGGCGCTAGGGGCCCATCGCTCCGCGGGCCGCGCTGCGACGCCGCCCCCGCGGAGGAGGGGGAGGAGGAGGAGGAGGAGGAGGAGGAGGAGGAGCAGGAGGAGCTGGAGGAGTCTCGCGTCGAGGCCGAGATGGGCAACCCTGACGCGCCTGGACCCAACAGTTACTTTGCGACCATTGTGGATCCGAAAAATGCCCGGAGCTATTGCCTGGACATCGCCGGTTTCCCGCCCCACCCGCAGCGCGACAGCATCGAGGGCCGCGGCTGCAAGGCCGAGGGCGAGGACGCCCAGTTCAAGTACGATCCCGACGCGCAGCAATCCGTTCCGTCAGCTTCAACTGGGAGCGCAACCCGCTGTACAACGGGTCGAAGAACTGTAGATCATGGGAGGCGGACTTGGCTTTGACGACGAGTCCTGCTTCTCTCTCTATCAGCGGAGAAATATTGAAGCTGGCCCACCTTCGGCCTCGCGAGATGCACCGGAAGCGACGGGCAGACATTCTCGTGAACGAGCAGGGGGCAGTTTATGATGGGCGGCGGCTCCTCTTCCTTATGCGTCGTCTTGGGAACGAACGCGACGGAGCATTCGGATGAGGACTTCTTCGCCGACCCCGCGGAGCTCCAGGACTGCGAGACGTGGCCGACGGAGCTGTCCACGTGGGAGGTCCTTCTCCCCAGACCACACCTTCCTTTCTGGCATTGATGCCGGCTCCTTCAGTTAGCAGTGAGGGGCCTGCTGGAGCGCGCGATGTAAAAAGCAAAGCATGTATTTCGGAAGCCCGGCCTCGGGGGCTGCCGGGCCGAAGCGCATTCGGGGCACAGAAGTGCATGACTTAAGCTCCCCCATTCCCCCCCCCCCCGCGGCCTCCCCGGAGCTTCCCCGGCTCGCGCAGCTTCCACATCGGTTCCAAGTCGATCAAGATGATTTCTGGACGGCCCAAGATTCCGTCGAGGCAGCCCAGGAGGCTCCCAGAGGACCCCCAATAGGATCCGAAGAGTCAAACATAGGTCCATTTTTTGTAGAAAAAACCATCGCCCAAGAAAGGCCCAAAGGCCCCCAAGAGAGCCCCGAAACGGCCCAAGAGGTCCCCAAGAGTGCCCCAGGAAGGCCAGAGAGGGCCCCAAGATGGCCCAAGAGGCGCCCAGAACCGCCCAAGCCGCCACCAAGAGGGCCCCAAGAGGTGCTCCAGGGGGCGGAACTCGAACTGACATGGCGAGGCCACCGTCCCAAGAGGACCCCGGGAGATCGCCAGCAGGGCCCCAAGCACACACACCCAAGAGGGCCCAAGAGGCCCAAAAGAGACACCAAGAGGCCCCCCGAGAGGCTTCCAAACTTCCTCCGAGAAGCTGAGGATTCCCCAGAGACCCCAACATGCATCCAAGAGGTTTCAGACCAACCACCCAGGCACCGTGGCAGAATGGGGCGAAGGCTACCTGGAGGGGCCATGCAACCGGCGTCAGGTCGTAGGACCACGGGGCAGCGCACTCCCCCCCCCCCTCCCCCCGTAACCCACTTCCGCCTCAGTGATAAGATGAGCCCGCGTGGACACAGAGTAAACATAGCGTCGGGGGGGGGGGGAACGAAACAAACTAAAACCAGATTCATCATAAGGAAGGATCCGATCGGGGGAAGGGGAGGACGACATAGTGCAGGGCAGCTGAAAGGTAAATGGGGATACGGATTGTACTAGTGTAAGTTATGACATCGGCGGTCCACAACGAAGCCTCGCGCAGGGCTCGGAGCTGACAGGATCGCGCACCTGGGTGTTTAACGTTTGCCGGCTGCAGGGAAGCGTTTTGTTGGTTTCACGAAGCCGAGGGGAAGATCACGCGGCCGTGGCAGGTACTTGTTGTCGAGGGCCGCTGTCTCCCAAATAGGGCGGCAGGATGTCGTGTGATAGGTGTGATATGCATGACGTGTCGGATGTGGTTCAATATTCGCGAGGAGGTGATGCGACTGTGGTCAGTGCAAACCAGTTCTAGCTGGGACGCTGCACTGGCTGGCAACTCAGCTCTGCGAGAGGCGTTTCTCAAGAAGGTGTATGAAGAGATCTAGGGGTTGTTGGAAGTTTCCTGCGTGCATGCGGCTATGGAGATCCAATCATTACATGATGCAGTGGGGTGGGGATGCCTGGCCTATTCTTTACTGAGGCCGGATTTCCCAGCAACCATCCTCGGTCTCGAGCTTCAACTTTGCACGGCGCCGAGGGTATTATCGCAGTTGGGTTCCAGTTTTGGTGCCTTCGAACCAGGACGATCGATTATTCAGGGTTTGCGCAAAAGGGGCCAGGTTTGGCACTTGCGCGACGCATGCCGTGCCAGCCGAATTCTCTACGGGTAACTTTCAGTTACAATCGCGCATTTATGTTGACGATTTGAGTGAGCCAGCGGTTGGTTCTGAGCAGCAGGTCAACGATGAGGAGTTGCCGACGCGTTCAACTTTTTTGCGGGGGGGAATCTGTCGGTGGCTAGCAAGAGTGTCGCCATGGCGGCCATGCGCAGTCAAGCCAAATTTATCGCGGGTGCACTTCGGAGACGAGGACTACATCCCAAACCGGCGTTGCAGGCTGCATGTCTAGGAGTTGACTTGGGAGCTGGCAAGCGCGTGCCAAGAGCGACGAGACGGCAGCGCTAGGGACTGCCAGAATTTTCCGATGGGCGAGGTCGAGTCGGTAGTATCAAGTCACATCTATTGTGGAGAAGGTTGCTGGACTGACAATGGCGCATTCCGGACATCCTGTAAATGGGCTTTTTGGTTCAAGCCTGCTTCGCCTTCGCCGTCGCCTGGGCTCGGTGTGGAGCCAGCAGGAGGGGCCGATGTCTCACGGCGACGCTGGACATTCGGGCGCCAGGGCAGGATCTTGCTGTCCGATAAGGGCGAGAATATTTATTCGAGTGGCTTCGCCTCTGGACTTTCGCAAAGGAGACCCGTCCAGTTGCGCATCGGGCGCGGGGTAATTCAGTCAATCGCATGCATGGAATTAGGCCTGCAGAGCGTACGCGACATGTCACGGGTCCTTTGGGCGCTGTTATTGTTTTTTCTTCTGCAATATGGTTGGTGACCGCACAGCCCGTCCCATTGGCAGCGGCCAGATGCGACAGACCCGGAGGCGCCTAATATCGAGTGGCATTTTCCTGCTGAGCAACTGATTGGAAACGGATACCTCTTTGATATTCTCGAGGATTTCACCAGTTCCATTCAGAAGCAGCTCTGGCGTGAGTCAGCCGCTCATTACGCAGGCGATGGCATGGCGAGTGGAGTGGGCAATTCTTCATACCGAGCGATGCTGCGACGTTTGCGGGAAACGCCCAGGGTGCAGCTTAGACTGGACTGGTGCTGGCAGTGGCGGTTGGCGGGACTTGGCCACGCACGCGCTCTGAGAATATCGGCGTGGAGCAACAGCTGTGTGCGCGCTGTTTGGCCCAAGGAGAATGCCATCTGGAGACTCCGTATCGCAGGTGTTGGTCGTGTCCACAAAACAAGGGGCATCGGGCATGCAGTGTCTCGGACAAGCACGCAGCTGAAACAATGAATGACGCAGCACGGGCAGTCCGAGTGCTTCTGGTACAGAGGGCTTCTCCCCAGGCAGTGGGTGGCAGTTCCAGCTTCAGGAAATTGGTTTTCACCAGTCATGAGTTTAGCGATGACGGAAGTGTTCCGCTGGCAGATGCCACGGCAGGGGAGCCAATATTTGCGTGTGGTGATGCCTCAGGGGGAACAGGTACGCACAATCCGAAGTTCAGAAGAGTGGGCATGGGCTTCTTTTTCGCTGATCAGCGGGACCCAGTAAGGATTGGAATGGGCGGACAATTCCTGTTGCCAGGCAGGATGAAGACCGTGCATCGTGGGGGATCAGCAGTGTTTGAATACATCATGCGCCGAACTCGGGGGCCGCTGGTGTACGTCACCGACGACGAAGCTGTCCAGGAAAGGTTTTATCACAGGCGTATTTGCGCCCCAACGAAGCGGACAATCAAGTGGACCTGTGGGAGCCGATCGGTCGTGCCATGCATGAAGGACGTGGCCCAAGAGCGATTGCAGTTCTTGCTTTATGAATTCGCACATGCCGCTGCGTGTAGCCCTTGAGAAAGGAGTGGCTCTGTGGATGTATCGTGGCAACAAGCGAGCAGACGAGTTGGCTGGGAAGGCGGCCAGAGATGCGAGGAATCCGCAGGCAGATCGAGTACGAGCGGACATGCACGAACAGAGAGCTGAATTTGTTCGTCGCAGGCTGCTGCGCGCCACCATGGACTGCCTTGTGGTTGACCCGCTTCCGAGGGATGCGATTGGAAAAAAGGCAACGCTTCGTCCCGCCCGCCCCTGCCGTTGTTGCTAGATTCTGCTAGATTCTGCACGGAGCACACGCTCAGAGAAGATGGCCGCTCTCGTCCCGTGCGTCGTGGGTCCGCGTCCGGGGAAAATGAAAGTGGCTCCCGTCGCCCTGTAGCGAATTAGTTTCTATTGACGGCGTGTTTCGTAGATCCCCCAATGGGTTTCCAGTCCATTGTGCGGGGGAGTGGCTGCACTCTACACACCGACTCAGGTTTCATTCTAAATTGTTGTCGCTTCGCGAATCCCCACCAGCCCATCCAGAAACGATGCCCAGAGGAATTGCCTCGATCAGAGAAGTGGGCAGCACACAGAGGAAGCCATTATGAGACATCTTGGGATATCTTGAGCCATCTTGGAGGTCATTTTGGGCTCTCCCAGACGCTCTTGGAGTCATCTTAATCCGTGCCCCCCCCCAAGAGGCCTCCATGTGGCTAAAACCTGTGTAGAATCAATGATTAGGCATTCTCGCCGAGGCCTCTTGGAGCATCTTGGGTGCATCTGGGGGGGCTCTTGGGGCCTCTTGGGGGTCTCTTGGGGGCCTCCGGGGGGCCTCTTGGGGGCCTCTTGGGGCCATTTTGGGGCCATCTTGGGACCTCTTGGGGCTTCCTGGGCGCTTCTTGGGGCCATCTTGGAGGAGATCGATCAAACAAGAGGGGGGGTTTAATTAGCGTCCCCCCTCGGAAGCCCCTAAAATCGCCTCTTGGACCCCTCTTGGAACGCTCTTGGAGTGCTCTTGGGCGCTCTTGGGGCCGTCTTGGGGCTCTTTTGGGGCTCTCTTGGGGCCCTCTTGGGCCATCTTGGAACCATCTCCAGGCCTCGGATGGCCATCGGAAGCGAAAAGGCGAGAAAGCAAAAATCATTGATTTTCCTTAGGTTTTGGGACGATTTTGGCCTCTTCGGGGCCTCCTTGGGGAGCTGTTTGGCCACTTGGAGTTATCTTGGGGCCGTCTTTGGGCTTCTTGGAACCATCTTAGGAGCCATCTCGAGCGATCTTGCGCTATCTTGAGCCATCTTGGAGCTCATCTTGGGTTCTCTGAGGCGCTCTTGGAGCCGTCTTGGGCCATCTGGGACGCTCTAACTACCCGCGGCCCCCCCCGTCCAGGTCCAGGGGAGGGGGTAGGGGGAGGGGTAAACCCCTCCCCAAGGGGGAAGAGGGAGGGGTGGAAGAGGATCTGCTCTAGACCACCTACGCCCAGAGGGCTGGTGGGATTTGAGCTCTGGTTTTGTGGATCATGCGGGCTTCCTCTGCCCAACAGGTTCGAAACCTCTGGAAAGGGTGCACGGAGAAAGTAGAAGCGAATTGCAGGGACTATTTGAACAGGTTTGGTGATGGGCTCTGGTCAAAGGTCCTTTCGTTGTCGGAGCAAAGAGCCAGAAGCCTCATTCCACCTTCATTGGATGTTTCGCTTCGCGAACTGACCATGTCCATGTCCATTTCCATTCCCTCCTCGTTCCTCTTCCTTTTCCCATCTTCCTCATCCTCGTTCTTATCCCTTCTCTTTCTCACTCCCCTTTCTTTCTCTTCCCCCCCAGCCCCTGGAAAGGGGCCCAGGGAGGGAAGGAATTGGCCGGCTGGCACGCCGAGCCGATGCTGCTGAGGCGTGGCGCCGAGTGGGTGGGGCGCGGCGCCGCGCGGGGGGAGGGAGTGCGCCCCCTTCGCGCAGAAGGGGGGGGGGGCGAGGAGGG